ATGATTGCCACATATAAAATGCTCAAAACATTATTATTGTTGTATTATGTCAAATTTAATTCTAAAGCCATTTATATTAGTTTTCTCTTGCTGCTGGGACAATTTGCTGCAAATTTAATGGCTTAAAACAACACAGATTTATTATCCTACAGTTCTGGGGGTCAGAACTCTGAAACGGGTTTCACTGGGCTAAAATAAAGATACGGTCAGGATTGTGTTCTTCTGAATGCTCTAGGAGACAATCCATTTCCTTGCCTTTTGCAGTTTACAAAGTCTGCCCACATTCCTTGCCTCATGTCTGCCTTCCATCTTCAAAGCCAGTAATGGGAGATTGAGTCTGCATGTTGTATCTCCCCAACATTATTTCTTTCTTCACATCTCCTTCTCTGACTCTGACTTTCCTGCACCCCTCCTTCACATATAAGACTCTTGTTGTTATTTTGTGCCCACACAGATAATCCGAGATATTCTGCCCATCTCAAGACTTTTAACTTAATCACATCTGCAAAGTTCCTTTTGCCATGGAAATGGCATAATCATAGTTCTGGGGATTAGAATGTGAACATCTTTGGGGGCCATGATTTTGCCTACCATAGTCTTACTAGTGGTCTTTAAAGACGCATGTTTATCCAATTTGTAAAATACATTCACCCAATCCCTAGGTCCCTAAAGGTGTCAACTCTTTATAGGTTTAACTCAAGTCTAAAATCTCATCACCTCTAAAGTCCCAAATTTCATTATCTAAATCTGCTAAGTCAGGTATGGATGGGTATGATCCATCCTGGGGAAAAATCTCTCTCCATTTGTGTTTGTGTGAAACTAGTAGACAATTTATCTGCTTCCAAAATTGGGACAGGCATAGATAACTGATATTCAGGAATATAGACATTCCCTTTAAAAAAGGGAGAAAATGGAAAGGAAAAGGGAGTTACAGGTCCCAAACAGTTTCAAAGTCCAGTCAGGCAGATATCAGGTTTTAAGGCCTAGGAATAATCCTCTGTGGTTCACAACTCTGCCTCTGGGCTCATGGTTATGTCCTCTGGTCTGACATTGCTGCCCTTGGAGCCATCCTTCTTTTTTCATGAAAGGTAGCACATATTTGCAGCTGGCTAACTTTATCAGCATGAGAGTCTTCTTTCATTTCACATTCTCTCTTTCCTTTTAGTCCAAGCTGGCAGCATTCCTGTAGGTATGTCATTCTCAAGAAAGTTGTGGGTTTCCCATATATGTCATAGGATTTACACCATTATACACGAGGCTCCTCTCCAGATTTTTTTCTGGATAACCCCATTTCTATTCCTGGCTTTTGCTAAGACAACTGAGGAGATTCATAAATCACATGCCTAATCTCTTTAATGTGTCTTTAATGTGCCCTCTATGTGACTGAACTCTCTGATATTTTGATTCATCTAAGACACTAGCCAAAAGATGTCCAGCCACACCCTGGGATTTCTCTCCAGAGGACTTTCCCAACAATGAAGCTCCTAATTTTAGCATCTTTTGCAATCCAGATACACTGAGAATTTCCCAAATCATCAAGTCCTGGTTCCTTTATATTTAACAGTTCTTCCCTCAATCTGTCTCTGTTCCCTGAAATTTATTTGTAGCAGCAAGAAGAAATCAGGCTGCCCCTTCTAAACTCTGCTTGGAAATCTCCTCAGCTAAATATTCAAGTTTGTAATTTATAAGTTTAGCTTTCCACATATCTGCAGGACAAAGTTCATCTAAGCTTTCTCCCGCTATATAGCAAGAATCCTCTTTCCTCCAGTTTCCAATAAGATGTGCATCATTTCTATTTGAGCCCTCACTAGCAGAGTCTTTAACATCCGTATTTCCACTAACAGTCTGTTCAAGGCAATCTAGACATTTTCTATCATGTGCTGCAAGATTATTCTGGCCTCTAGCCATTGCCCAGTTCCAAAACCACTTCCACATTTTTAGGTATTTGTTAGAGTAGTTATGGTAACAAAATTTATGCTAGTTTCCCATTGTTGCTGTAACAAATTGTTGTGACAAACTTAGTGGCTTAAAACAACACATTTTTATAATATTACAGTTCTGGAGGTCAGAAGTCCAAAATGGGTTTCACTGGGCTAAAATATATGTGTTGTTAAGATTGCATTCATCATAGGATTGCATTCCCTCTGCAGGCTCTAGGGGACAACCCAAACCCATTTCCTTGCCTTTTCTATCTTGTAGAGGCTGCCCGCATTTCTTAACTCCTGTTCCCCTCTCATCTTCAAACCAGCAATGGTGGATTGAATTCTCACATCACATCACTCCAAACTTGTTTCTGTCATCACATCTCCTCTGATTCTGACTCTTTTGCCTCCATCATTTTCTATAAAAAGGACTCTTGTAATTATATTTGGTCCACTCAGGTAATCCAGAATAATCACACCATCTCAAGATCCTTCACTCAATCACATCTGTAAAGTCCCCTTTACAATGCAGGGTAACATATTCATAGGTTCTATGGATTAGGATATGGACGTCTTTGGGGGACTATTATTTAGCCTACACCCCACTGTATAAAGCATTGTTGTATGTTTCCCTCCTTCCTTCCCTCTGTTTAAATCATTCAGTAAACAACTATATGCAAAGATTATCTCTAACAGAAAGGTTACACATGGACAAAAAATTTAGAACAAAAGGCACAATAGTGGAGAAGAAAGGATCCTGAACTTGGGTTCTAGTCCAAGATCTGTTTGTTTACTTTCAAAAATGATTTACCTCTCTGAATTCTTGTTTTCTTACAAGGGAAAATAACTAGCAATTCTCTTAGATTTCTCTATCTCTGAAATTTGATAAATCTAATGTATCTTACAGCTTGATTAAAGGAGAATATGAAATGTGCTCATTGCAGAGTAAAGTCAAGGCTTATGATCCAGAGATTCCTATAGATTTTCAAGGAGGATCAGGTCTTTGGATAAAAGGCATCTACCCTCTGCTTTTGCTACCAGAAAAGAACTGTACAAATCAATTGCTGATGAGGTAATATAACCTAAACAGAACAAAACAGGCTACTGGGGGAAGGCCCAGGAGTCAGAGCAAAGATGGGAAGAGAGACAAAGGGCTGGCACAGGCTCAGTCCTCAGGAGAGATACCTTCTAGCAGTGTTCCGAGGGGACCCAACCAAGGTGTGGGCAAAAGCCCATCATCAAACACTTGCAAAGCCCTTCCCTGTGGTTATGCAATGGAAAAACAGACAGACAATGACTCAGAGCCTTGACTGTGTGTGGGAGCCACTGAAATAAACTATCAAAGGGGAAAGGTGGATTGCAACAGCTTCCACAAATGGCACTGTGGCAGTACACAAATGAGCTATAGGTGGAGGCAGAAGACTTAGTCAAAGGTATTGTCAACGATCAAGGAAGTACCTGCAGGTTACTAGCCAGCAAGTGGGTCTGCATGCCTGGAAGCGGGTGGGGAAAGACAGCTCCTCTGCTGGCACTTTGTCAGCTGTCCAGGTGCCACAGTGAGAAAGAGATTTTGTTGTGGCAAGAGGGCCAGAAAAGTCTTCATTCTTGATCTGACCCATCACCTGAAAATTTTCACCATGTTTCTGGCTTAAATCTGATAGTGGGTAGTAGGATGCATGTTGAAAGAAGTAGGGAGCGTGCCAGCCACACTTCATATTGAGTTGAATGAAGAGGTCAAACATTTTCCCAGAGTTCTGTCAGAGAACATGAGGGAACACAGATGGATAGCAGAGCAAAGCAATGCATCCTTAGAGATGGGACCAAGTGTTTGGCTGGAATAATTTGAACAGCTGAGGACAAAAGTCCATGTGAATGAAGAGGAAAATCTCCCAATCTCATGCTAAAGATAGACAGGGTTATAGAGAAAGATTTTTGATGTTTAATTCTACTGCAGGATTACAGAAAATTCTCCTTACCAGCTTTTTGGTATTTATGTCACATATTATGTCAGATTCCTGGAACTTGTGACTAAAATAATTTTCTTTCAGGTGGTTCTAATCTTTAGCATGTGGGCATTGGATTAGTAGGTTGTACGGACTATAAATTCCCTGAGGAACTTGGTGAAAAAAATTAGTAAAATGATTTGTAAGCCTGAATTATTCTAACAGTTTGATCAAAATGGTATACTTGGTATGTCTGAGCAGAAATATTTACAATATCTTTTGATATGAGAAAGAGAGAAACAATGCCAATTGCATAAATTAAACTCTGGACTCCAAGCAAAGAATGGACCTTTTCCTGGCTTGCTCGTTGGCAGAATAACAGACTTCTTTTGGTTGATCCTACTTTGTGGTGGGTTGTTTCTAAATTCTATTCTTAGACCAGAGTTGAATGGAATGTATGATGGAGGCTTCCCCAATTTAATGAGTATTATTGTAAGGGAGAACCTGTTTTCTTCTCTAGAATTTGAAAATCCCAGTGGGTTGCAGAGGAGCTAGTGATGCAAAGGAGAGGGGATCATAGAAAAATCTTTCTGACTTTCTAGTAGCATTAGCAGTAGCAGCCAAATCAAGTTTCTGGCTTGGCAGTGACAGTGGACCATTTGCAAGTCGTTGCAACAAGACTGAATTTACAGGGTAGCAGTGGTAGCAACGCTAGAGGTGATGGTGGTTGCCCCAAGATTGAGTTCCTGGGGACAGTTGTGCAAGCCACAGTGTTCAGTGTTCTTTGGCAGCATTAGTGACTGCCTCACTGGATGAGTTTAGCAGCATGATTTTAGGCTTTGTTCCTTGCTATTAGCTCCAAGCCTGGCTTTCCACCCTTCACATTTATATTGTAAGCTGCCTAATGTCCTTTTAATAGATTCTTTTCACTTTGGTTCTGCTAAACTTTGGTTTGCTGCTTACAACTCAAAGCCTGACAGATACTTTTGGGGATCTTGTTAAAATACAATTCCATGGCCTAGACACAATCAATCAGAATATCTGGCATTTGGGCACAGAAATCTAACTTTTTAAGGATCTTGAATCAAACACAAATTTTTCTGTAGCAAGTGACAAAAAACTGAATTCAAACCAGTTTAAGAAAAAAAGAAATGTATTGACTTATATAATTTAAAAGTCTAGGGAGTAGATATTCAGACAGTACTGAATTCAGAGCTCAAACGATGTCTTCAGGATTTGGTCTCTATTTCCTGGTTTCGTCTTCTGTGGTGTTTTCTTTAGTCTCAAATTTCATGGGGTAGCAAGATGGTGGCAGCAGCTCCAGACCTTGCATCCTCTCAGCTGCGTTCTAGTAGACAGAGCATTTGTCTTTGTCCTGGAAGCCATGGTTATGGTGGAGATCCATGTCTGAAACCATTCCTGTGGCCGAGGGAATGTGAAGCTCCAATTAGTTGGCCTGAGTCTCCTGCCACCTCTGGAGCCCAGATCCTCTCAGGAATACACTTTTTCTTTTCATTTCACTGACAGTGTCAACTTTTTGTTAACCATCCTTTCTGAGGGCTGGTAGATATCCTCATGCTTGCAGTTAATTTGTATGCTCATTCACTCATTTATTCATGAATAGATGGAACACATGCTAGGCATTGGCTAGATAAAGGGGATTTAAAGTTGGTCCTTATTTTAAAAGAGCATGGATTTTAGTGGGGGAGACACATAAATAAACCAGTATTTAAATTCATTTGATTTATTCTTGAACAATTATCAAATGCTTGGCACTATTCTAGTGCTGGGGATACAGTAGTGAATAAAATAAAGTATTTGTCCTGATAGAGCTTACATTATGGTGGAATAAGACAGAAGATAAACCAATAAGCAAACAACTTAGGAGATAGTGATAACTACAATTGAAAATAGTCAGACAAGACCTCTCTGAGAGGGTGGCAGAGATGTGAAAGAAATGAGGGAGAGACCGTGTGGATATCCCCAGGGAAAAACATTCTAGGCAGAGGAAGCATCAGGTATAAGGTGCCTGAAGCAGGACCATGTTTGGCCAGTGTAGTTGGAGCAGAGTGTTGGGGAGAGTGTTGCAAATGAGTTTAAGGAGATAGAGGGGTCTAGATTATGTAGGGTCTTCTAAACCATTGTAATGCCTCTGATATGGGAGTAATTTGGGGATTCTGAGCAGAGAAGAGACATGATACAACTTGTTTTCAAAGAATCACTCTGTCTGTTGCATGAAAAGAGACAGGGAAGGAAGCTGGGAGACCAGTTGGGGGGCTGTTACATAATCCAGGTGTGAGAGAATGGGGCTGACCCAGTGTGATGAGGAGGAAGTGGCTGGATTGTGGATGTATTTTGAAGGCAGAGCTCACAAGATTCACTGATGGATTGATTGTGAAGTGAGAGAGAAAGAGAAGAGTCAAGGATGATTCTAAGGTTTTTGGCTTTAGCAACTGGAAGAATAAAATTGCCATTTATTGAAAAGGGAAAAATTGCTAAAGGAGTTTGCTAAGCTGCCTATTAGACATTCAAGTGCGTGTGTTAAGTTGGTAGTTGGGTGTTCTAGTCTAGACAGGGTAGAGGTTTGGGCTAGGATACATATTTGGGCATGGTTATCCCTATAGGTGGTATTTAAAGCTATGAAAGTGATGATATCACCTAGAAAGTGAATAGACAGAGCTTAGGAAAGAGCACTCCAGGTTTTAGGCCTCAGGCTGATCAGGAGAAGCAGCAAAGGGGATGGAATAAGAGCTGCCAGTGAGATAGGAGGAGAACCAAGAAAAAGTGCTGCCTAGAAGCCAAGAGAAGAAAGTCTTCCAAGAAGGAAGGAATGATTAATTGTATCAAATGCTGCAACTGTGATAGACCAGTAAGATGAGGACTAAGAATTCACCATTTTTTATGCCATGTCAAAGACATTTGTGACTTTGTCAAGAGTTGTTTTGCTAGAATAGTCAAGATGAAAAGGCCAATTTAAATGTATTCCAGAGATAAAGGGAGAAGAGGAATGAGTGACAGTGAGTATCGACAATTTCTTGATGGCTCTTTGCTGCAAAGGAAAGCAGAGAAATGAGGAGGTGGCTAGAAGGGATGTGGGGTCAAACGAGGTCAGTGTGATGTGAGTATAAGTATAGTGTGCTCGGGGTCCTTTGGGACTACATAAAAATTTACCTGCAGTAGATGTAAGGATGGAGCTTAGAGGAATGTCCAGGAGCCATCAGTAATAGCAGATGAGGAGAACATTTTTCAAATGAGGGGTATGTTTGAAGATATGCCAGTGTGGTACAACACGAGATTTGGCAAACTGTATGTAATTTGGAATGGCTGAAAGGAAAGGCCACGAGGCAGATTGGTAGGATATTAAGCTAAAGGATAGTCAGCATTGTACCTTGAAGTGAATTTTACTTTTTGAGCTAAAGAGAACTTTTGAGATATTTTCAGTAATGGAGTAAAGTGATGAGATTTGCATTTTCCAAAGAGAAGCCTGGAAGCAGTATGGAAGATGGATTAAAGTGGGGGTAGACCGGCATCAAAGAGACAGGAGAGTCTTGCAGAAACCCAAGAGAAAAGTGACAAAGGACTGAATTTAGATGTGTCACTGAAATTGGAGGGAAAAGATATGCAAGATGTAAAGAAGATAGGATCTATCGGATTCTCTGTTTGGAGGTCAAGGTGTGGAATGAGCAAGGAAGAAAGGTAGCAGGACTTTCACTTCTTTTAGGTATCAGATGGTTGGTGGGTCATTAGCAGAGCTAAGGACTATAGGAGTAGTTTTTAAAATTCTATTTTAGTTTTGGATATGTTGAATTTAAGGGATATGTGGAAGATTTTAAGTTGAGAAATTTAGTGAGTTTGGAGTTCCAGAAAATGGTTTGGGTGGGAGATACAGATCTGGGAATCATGATACATAGGTGTTGGCTAAGTGATGGATTTGGATGAAGTCCATCAGAGAAAGGGTGTAGAGCAGAAGTTCTTAATCCGAAGTTCAGCTGCACGTGGCTGGAGGAAAATGTCCAGCTGTGCTGATTCGTCCCACTGTAAATCTATGACCACACATTTAAGTGAGCCTTCCGTGGCAGCACAGCAATCTTCTTTCTCAAATCTCCAACAACCCTCTTCACTCCTCACACTCAGCTGATGACTTTGCACTTAATTAACTGAGGAAACAGGAACAATCACAGAAGAACTACTTCGCCTTCTCACCATCCAATCTCCCAGTTACTCTGTGTCTGTACCCACATGCTCTGCTTTTATTCCTGTTGCAACAGGCAAACTGCTCAAGCTCCTGTCTAACTCCAGGTATGCACTGGATCTCCTTCCCTCCCTTCTGCTCAAGGACTTCGCTCCTGCAATCATCCCTTTTCTCTTTTGCTTCATTGGTTTTCTCCTCTTTACTCATCACACCCATCTGCATGCTGTAATACGTCCCATCTGAAAAAGCTCTCTCGAGACTCCACATTCCCATCCCACTACCCCCACCCCCCGTTTCTCTGCTCTCCTTCATAGCAGTACTCTTGGGAAGAGTTGTCTGTCATCAAACTCTCACCTCCCGTTATCTCTGGAACACACTCCAGTCGGGCTCTTGTCCTCTGATTCCACTAAAACCAATCTTATGCCTGGCAAAGATCTCTTTCTTGCCAAATTCAATAAACAGTTCTTAATCTTCATCTTACTCATCCTCTCAGTAGCCTGCGATACAGTTGATGACTCCCTCTTTCTTCAAACACTTTTTTGCTGTTGTTGGCTTCCAGAACCTCATATTTTCTTGGTTTTCTTATCTCACAGCTGCTTCCTTCTCAGTCTCCTTCACTGGGTCTTTCTATTCTTACTGAAATTGAAAGGGTGAAATACCCCAGAGCTGAGTCCTCAGCTTTCTCTTCTCTATTTGCTTTCCTTCCTAGGTGATCTCACCCAGAGTCATGGCTTTAAATAACATCTGGTCAAATATCCATTTCAGAGAGGTCTTTCTTCTCCATGACTCTCCTAAACTACTTTGTTGTTCTTCATGACAATTATCACTATTTGAAATCATATATATATTTAAAATTATTTGTTTATTGTCTGTCTTCCACACGAGAACAGGGATCTTGTCTATTTTGTTCTCTGTTGTATCCTAGGCAACTAGAACAGTGCCTGGCACATAATAGGCTCTTAAAAAATATTTAATAAATGTGTGTTCTCAAGAGGCTTCCATAGCTTTTTTCTTATTCCTAACTCCCCAAAGGGAAGAATCATTCATCTTCAGAGTAAAAACACATAAGAGCCAAAGAAAGACACCTGGGGAATATAGATATTTAAGAGCCAAGCAAGAAAAAAGATCCTGAAACGGAGATCAAGAATCAATAGAGAGAAAGAAAGGGGGGAAACGATGAGGCCAACATGAGGAAAATTTCAAGCTAAAGAGTTAAGATAAGGGCAGAAGAGCATTTAGGTTGGATAAGGAAAGGACAGGTGTGAGTTCATGTAGTAAATGAGAAACCTTTGTTATTCTGGGCGGTGGAAAGAGGAGCAAAGAAAAGCGTGAAATCCCAGTCTGGCAGATGAGACTGCTTGGAGGGAGAGGTGGTGCTGGAGGTGAGAGGTGGTGCTTAGAGGGAGAAGTGGAGTGCTGCTGTACCAAATACCTGAACGTGTGGAAGTAGTTTTGGCACTGGGCAATGGGTAGAGACTGGAAGAGTTGTGAGGTGCATGTGAGAAGTATGGACATTAAGGGAAATTCTGGTGAGAGCTCAGAAAGCAAGGAGGAGAGCTAGAGAGAAGCTCTAAGAGAATGCATAAATAATCATGAATAACATAATGTTGGTAGAAATAAGGACATTAAACACCATTCTGGTGATGCGTCACATGGAAATGAGTGACATGTTATTGGAAACTGGAGAAAAGGCTATCCTTGTCGTAAAGTGACCAGGCGCTTGGCTGAGTTGTGTTCATGGTCTAGCGTTTTGTGGAAGATAGGACTTGTAAGCAATGAAACTAGATGTTTAGCTGAGGAGATTTCTAAGCAAAGTGTTGAAAGAGTGGCTTGGTTCCTCGGGGCTGCTTATAGTAAAATGTGAGAGGAGAGAAATGAATTGAAGAAGGAATGGTTAATTCCAGAATCAAAATTGAAGGTTTAGAAAATTCTCAGCTATCCATTTTGCAAAAAATGAGACATAAGTTTATGTTGCTTTAGCCACCCGGTCTATGGTATTTTGGTACAGCATTCCCAGCAGACTAGGGCAGATTTTGGGAGCCAGTAGCTCCTCGAGAGGTGCAAGGTTCAGTGTGGCGTGCTAGTCACTTTTTCCCCTCTGGATTCAGCTCAGGGTTTTGCTCCGAATCAAAATGATCTGGGAACTGTTCTTCAAAAGATTGAGCCTCTCACTTGGCCCTTGCTAGGTAAATAATTGTGAAGGTAATTCACTTTTTTATTTCCAGAGGAGAGGAAGGTCTTCCGAGACAAAGGGGACACAGCCTGCTTGAAAGGCTGCTTGGCCTGGAAACGACTGCTTACTCTGCCTGACCCTGAAAGGAGAGTGTGGTGTATCTTGCTTTCCTGCTTCCAAGGGAGGTGTTTAAGCACAGAAATGTGGAAATGGGCAAGTAATTCAAGGGCCTCAGGCTAAGGCAGAGGTGCCAAGGCTACCCAGAGGTAGGAGTTTATGGGAGGCGGAAAGACATCCTGAGGACAAGTTTATACAAGAACGCTCAGGGAGGGACATAAAAGGAGGTGAGGCAAGAAGCCTCAAGATTAACTTGGCATCTTGCAAATGTTTTTCAGAAAATCCCCAACTAGGGGTTGTCAGAAAGCCTTCCTGTGCTGTCCACAGATGCTTGCACTTGCCCCAAACCTGCTTCCTTGCTGGATGTGCAACTCAAACCAGTCTTTAGAAACTCAGCTTTGGCAGCATTTGAAGTAAATCATTTCTTGCTTGGCACTTCCCCAGGGTAGGAGGGAGGACTCTCATGAGCAGGTGCTGGCATAGCTGATACAGAGCTGTGGCCCTTCTGGGTAAGATTTTGAGGAGAAAAACAGAGTGATTTCCTTCCTTCAGGCATTCTGCCATCCCATGAACAATTTTGGAGGTTCTGCTGAATAACCAGATTAAAGGCTCTATGCTCTATTTTACTTGTCCGTTGAGATATATAAAGCTTCTGAAGATAGTGATATCTTTCAGAGAAAAGTGCAGGTTTGTCAATCCACTGGACTATCATCCTTTAATTCCTTGTTACACTTTCCACTAGAGCAGCTAAGGATCCTACCTCTATTTGACATTTCTTTTGTTAAAAAAGCATTCATAGGTTCATGCTGCTAAAACCTGCAAGAGGCTATGCTTTTGCGAAAAGATGAGTATTATTTAGCCTTTATGAGGGATCTGCAAAATCCTTAATAAAGATAGGTATGTCCTACTGGCTAGGCTCCAAGAATAAAGCTAGAAACTTTAACAATATTACTATACATGTAGTTTTTACCAATGTGCCAATTTTTTTCCATGTGACTTGTTACCATTTGCAGGTATTTACTATTAATGCGCCTGCCGTACCTCGGTTTGATGAAGAGCAACTGTAGTTTGTTAATGCTTTTACTGACAAAAGTTATCTAGATAGCACCTTATCATGTGGAGGGCAATTAAACCCTGTTTAAGAAATATTACCTAGCAAAGCAAATTAAAAGTGGGAATGTTTGGACAGTCTTATAGCATCAAGAAGAATGATGTGCTTGCAGAATTTCTTCTTGTCACCTAATTGACAGGTTCTATTTGAAGTAGAAAGCTTTTTTAAAAATTTTTTTAAAATTTATTTTTTATTGTGGTAACATTGGTTTATAACATTATATAAATATCAGGTGTACATTGTTATATATTTCGATTTCTGTGTAGATTACATCATGTTCACCACCCAAAGACTAATTACAATCCATCACCACACGCATGTGCTGAAGTAGAAAGCTTTTCTGCTGGGTACCATATGGCATAATAGAGACAATGTGAATTCCAGAGAACTGATAAGATTGTGTGACATGTGTAAGAAATCTACCATTTATAAACATGATTTTGGCAGGAAATATATCAGTCAACTAAATAAAAGGCTATTCTTACTAAGTAGTCTGAGTCTCTTAATTCATGGTTCTCAGAATGTGGTCTCTGGACCAGCAGCATCAGCTTCACTTAGATACTCATTAGACATGCAGATTCTCAGGCCGCACTTAGACCTACTGAACAGAGACTCTAGGGCTGGGACCCAGCAACCTGCAGTTAATCGGTCCTCCAGGTAATTCTGATATATGCTACTTTGAAACCACTGTCTTGAACCCAAATCAGTACTGTGACCAACAGTACTTTTTCGGTTCCATAATTACCTAGGAGTCTTTATGTTGGGAGATCTTGAGACATCGAATGTGGACTGGTCAGATTTTCTATAGACAAAATGTTTTGTCTGGATGGCTAGGCAACTGACAATCATTTTCTCATTAATTCACTCATTCAACAAATATTTTCTGAATGCTTATAGTCTGGGCACTATACGAATAATAGTGAACAAGACAGAAAAGAGCTCTGTTTCACAAGATACCATCCTGGGCTGAATATTACATATTAATATAGATGTTGGGGCTGGCCCCTTGGCCAAGTGGTTGAGTTCACGCGCTCTGCTTCCATGGCCTGGGGTTTCACTGGTTCAGATCCTGGGTGCAGATCTAGTGCTGCTCGTTGAGCCATGCTGAGGTGGCATCCCATGTGCCACAACTAGAAGGACCCACAACAGAAATATACAACTCTGTACTGGGGGGCTTTGGGGAGAAGAAGGAAAAAAATATAGAGATGTTAATTTAGCACAGTGGCTCAAATTGCCTGTCAGTAGACTGTAGGGGGAAAGGTTTTTATAACAATCATCTCTCCCGATGGGTGAAAATTAGCTACTCCTTACAGGGAAGGAATTCTTCCTAGGTTTCACCCGATGATACGACAATGTTGTATTTACATTGAACCAACACAGCCAGGTGAAAAGTGAACAGTTCAATCAGTTGTTTCATTAAACAACCCCAAATAATTGGGTTTTACTCCACTAAATTGTCCAAACCAACCAGCAGTGTTGGGATTGTGTCAACTTAGCGTGAGTCTTCATTTATGTGGAAGGTTATGTCTGGAGATTTTAGGTGGAAAAACCACTGGTGGATGAAAAGGAAGACTTGGAACATAAATGATCCAGTTTGGTTACTGCCTGATTTTACTAGTTTTTTCTTAGCATTCCAGTTTATTTTGTAATATACACGGCCCACCTGTATGAAAAGGGATCAACCATGTTAACATTAAAAGTGATATGAAGAGAATTTAGGATCAATACCTAGCTTCATAAAATTTATTTGGTTGCTAGGAAGTAAATGACAATTCTAGTTCTCATCCAATTTAGTGATTTTCTTACAGGCAAAATATGAAGTAAAGCATATCTTAATTCTCTCTTCATTTCTTGAATTTATTAATATATATAGTAGGGTAATAACAGGCTTTAACAAAGACGCCACAGAATCTGAACTTGTTTATTCATATAAGGGAACTAAATCTTTTGATTTGTGTCACTGTGAATATCTTTGAAAGTGATTATTAAACACCAATTGCCATATGAGGTTTTTGTGAACATTTTGTATGTTAATCAGTCACTGTCAATCACTGTTAGAGGAAACTGTCAGGCTTACTGTCTGGCCGTGCACAGGGAAACCAGAAACACTTGTCTTAGAGTTTAGACCAACTCACTCTACTTTTTTTTCTGGGGCAGGAAAAAACAGGTATGGTTCCTAACTGAGAGTCCCAAACTCAAATGCTTTGAAGGTGCTAGACTGGTAGCATAAATGTATGAACAGGGCAGATCTATGAGACAAAAGGACGTGGTGGGGCTGTACCCGGGCATGCGTGTCTTGTCTACAAGTGGTTCAGCTTCAATTGTTTCAGTCATATCTTATGCATGGAGATATGTACTTGATTCATTTCTCAAAATTAGCAGATTAAAGGCCACAGAAGAAGGTGGAAGATCAGTGGTCTGGGTCCAGCTTTTGATCTTTAGTATCAAGATACTGGTCTCTCCAGGATTGATAGTTTGTGAACATATGTTAAACCACT